AGATCTTTAAGACATTGTTTAGTAGAACTCTCGTCGATAAGTTTGCTCACTGGACTTTTGTAATCCACGCCTCAAAGTTTTTCGAGTTTGAGGGCTATCATAGCAATACAATATAGGTACATACCCCGTCTATGTACCTCATTTTTGTAGTATTGCAATGTTCGGCACCCCAGAAAGAGCATATGCTGTTACTTCGAGCATTGTTCTGTTGAACGTGTTCACGAGGCCGCCGATGGGGGAGGAGAATTTCTGTTTTCTGCTTGGAAACCTTCACGTAGTGATTGTCTCAGCAATATTCATAAGCTATAACCTCTCTGCCGAGCTATGACTGAAATCGGAACTGCTGATCACTCTATCGTCCAAATTGGACGATAGAATGATCAGCTATTAGACGGTCCAATAGCTGTGTGGAATCTGTCGGCCTCGATCAATTCCCTCCTACAACAGAAGGGAATAGATTGAGGCCGACATGTCTGCTGTTGCCACAGCAACAGCTAAGGTCTGGTATTGCCAATGCGCCTCGCGTACAAGTCTCATGCTGGGATGCCTGTGGAAAACTTTCTGTGATTTTCTATTTGTGACTACGTGCATCATGAAATTTTCCCAGGATGAGTGATCATAAACCACTAATCCCTATCGAATGGAGATGTTTTTCCCATTAACGTATCTCCTGAGATTCCCTGTGGCTGAGAACAATAAAAAGGATAAGTGCGACTCTGCTGGATGAAGTCCAGATGAAGTCAACAATATTGCATTCGCATCGAATCCGAGAAAACCCTACAGATCCAATAACTTGAGCTTCTTATTGATTAGGTGCCAATAATAAGCATTAGAATATACACATTGAATGACTGATGATATAAACACTAGGTTGAAATTGATCAGAGAACAGATAGAAAGATCAACAAAGGCATCTCGTCTGAGGCATGTGGACTATTGGAAAGAGAGAGGATCAGAGGTCACAGTTGCATGGCACATCAGTTGCCGAACAGACGTTGGGCAACTTATAAGTCATACAAAAGCTGCCAGGAGCGATGCTTTCGCAGTATTGATCACATCCTCTAGCTCCAGTCTTGGCGGTGGTATCGGCCAGAGTACTGCTTATAGTATTAGAGGTAGTCATCGAGTCAGTACTTGAGGGTGATTACGTTTTTCCAGGGCAGAAGCGTGGTTTACAGGGCACCGTAAATCGCTCGCCCGAATGGCGGAATTTACAGGGCAATCTGGAACTTCGAGGGCAGGGAGGGAATTGCCAGGGCCATAGCAGAAAATTGAGGGCACCAAAGCGCGCGCCATGGCTTGGTGATTTTACAGGGTTTTGGGTGAAAATGGAGGGCGACTGTCAGTTTTTCAGGGCAGACAATGATGACTCGTCATTGACGAGTCCATAACTTATACATATTATATACAAGGCCGAACATCCAATCGAGGTATAATACACTGAACTTCGGTGACCGATTCGGTCAGACCGAAAACCGCTGATTGCCAACAGAACATTTGAATTATTGCATCTCGAATGAAAGTGGCGCTGAAGTTCAGTGACTAGGACAAACCACCCCAGTTCACAGGATAGTACACTATGTGTTGGTTTGATATCGCTAAAT